CAGTATATCTGGAAAAGGTGAAATGACTTCCTGGATGTCCCACTCTGAAAGCTTGTCAGCCATTGACTATGCAAGTCCAAATATCAACTTACAACATCGAGCAAGCCCTGGCAGGGCACATCAGTGAATTAATGAGTCCATAATATGGTAGTGGGTAGATAATCTTTGAAGTGATCCCTATCAGATAATGTAATGTAGTTTGCATAGCATGAAGGAGATGCGATGGAGTGCTGAGTACTATCCTCACTGACCAAGGGGCCGTATGAATGGCAGGCCATCATGAACCACAAAGTGGTGCATGTGAGCATTTATGCCACCACAAAATGGTGAATGAGTGTCTCTTGGCATGTCAGATCCATCACTGTCACTAGGACTATACTAGTCATCAGAGTCCACAGCAGTATTCGGTGTCTTATGGAGGAAGCCAATAGTTTCTTCTGGAAATTAACATCTCAAAGCTAGTAGTGTAGAAGGTGCACTTGTATGATGTGAAATTTACGAATGAGATTGATGTTATTGGACAGCACTTTGATTCCTAAATGACATAGATAAGTGATCAAAGGAGCAAGTATTAGATATTATATGACAGAATTAACCAATTGATATAAGTGTATAGTAACTCAAACACCTAATCTCATGTATAGAGAACATAACACAAGATAACCAGGAGAAAAAAATGTTGGGTCCTTAGATCAGAGGAAGATTTTCTGCCAATATGCACTCTATCCCATGTGGTAGACAAGGGAGTAGAATCACTTTGGGAAAGGATGGCCCCAACTAATTGTCTCAAATCATCTGAGGTATCATGAGGGGATTGAGGTGTAGAATGTTACCACCTGCAAAACATAGTTATTGATACAGGTCAAGATGTGAATTTCAACCAGGATTTACAGTTCAGAGAGTGCTGCTTGGGTATCAATGATTTTGAAGCAGTACTTTAGCCTGCCATGAGAGTGTAGCACTCACATATCACTATAATGATTGTCTCGGCATAGTATTCGCCTGTGCCACCATATTGCTGGCCAGAAAAGCAGAATTAGGTCCAGGTTGGATACTATATATACAAACAAACCACTATAATCTTTGTGTTGTTGGCAACTATCTAATTATTACAGCTGTTTGAGAAACTAATATCATTGGTGATTTTTTTTTCACATGTGGAATATGTCTTGGATGTTCATGTTAGGACTCAAGACACGACTTTCTGTAGTTCTACTTAATATCTGAGTAGACACTGGCAGTACACTGGTCCATTCATTGTGATGGGGGAAGCACCCCTCCCTGATTTCCACAACTCTATTCATTCTATTAATGTGCACCATGTAACAGCTACACACCTATAACACACAGGTGCCGAAGGTACTATGAACTTAGGTACTACTAAAGTATAATCAGCTGTTAGCAATAATGAGAGACTAGTACATGCATGCTTAAACTTATATCAATGCCATCATAGAATCAGGCTTGCATCTCTGCTAAGCTCCGCATCCCACATTTTGGACATTGCCCCACCAAAAGCCTTCCCAAGAGCTAAAGCTAGTGATGTAGGTGCTGCATTACTAGTCTGTCTGAATTGCTGTAGACATGTCAGATGTAGAATGGTGCGCAACACGCAACAAAGGCTTATATCATTGATAGTTTTCCTCTTTCAGAAAATCTGGATGGACTCAAGGTCAGAGCAGGGTATACCAGAACCCATCAAAGGATCCTAGATGGGTGCCAGAGCATGGAGGGTTACAGTTATCACTTTTCACCTTTTACATTGTCACTATTACTAATCATTCCATAATGTTCCATAACATTCTATTGTACAATTCTTTGTTCTCTTTCTCGTTTGTTACTTATATTCAAGCTCTGTTTCAATACTATTATATATACCTTACACTTTACACTTTGTATCTTTAACTTGACCTATGCAGACCAGGGCCTGCAATCTAACTTCATCTTCACTAGAACATTGATTTTACTTGGATCTTTGAACATTAAGATGTCTAACCAATGCTGAGCATAACATGGAGGGCCTTTGGTATACCAAGTAGTGACAGATGACGAAGTGTGGGAACACTGGCCAGGAAGAGACTGAATGCTTCAATAGGTGCAGTGATCCTGTTGAGCGATAATTCCTGCAGGTTCAAAAATGGGCGATGAGTAGCACAGTATCTTAGAAGACTATTAGCAGGGCTGTCTTCATTGCCATTGTCATTGTCATATGTGAGTTGTTTGCGGATGTAACTCTCGCCAATAGAAAGCTTGATCAGATTGGAGGCATGAAACCCTCTGAATAGCTTGGCAGGATTTCTAACTTGAGGGAATTCATAGTGAAGCCACTGGAGCAGGGGAAGTGATACTTAATATAAAGGTCGACCAGGCAGTGGCCCTGAGGCTCTTAGCACGAGATGTTGGAGGTAGGAATAAGCTTTTAGAATCCCCAAAAACTTATCAAATGTTAGTCTGACTTTACCACTATGATGGGACAGCTCTAATGACTGGATACAGTGCCTGAACAGAGTAAGTGATTGAGTTAGGATCACGCCAAGGAGAGTAGAAAGGTGGAAAGTGGCCCAATTCAAATGAATGTCATAGAGAACAATGTTATGTAGTTTGAGGAGGTGAGGAGATTGCACAGGAACTTCTTAAAGGTTAGCACCTATAAGAGTGGTGAATGGGGTCCCCTTGACTGTCTGAATGAACCTTGGACAGAAATTCCAGAAGAAAAAAATGGTGTTGTTGGTTCTTATGAGTTTTATAGACTTGAGATGAAGAGCTTCAGAGCCCTCTGTCCTGTGCTCATTTAGAAGATAAAGGGCACTATAAAGTGACATCCAAATATTGCTGGCTATATCCAGGGAATACCATCTGTACATCTCTGGGAACAACAGGTTGAGAACAGTGGGCATGCAGTTGGCGTGATGGCACATCATTGGAGTGAAATCCCGATACCTCCTTCTAAAGGCAGACATGTTTAGACAGGTGTAGGCTACAATGATACACAACTTACATCTGTCCTTTACAATTAGATGCTGCTCCTTATTGAGCTTTGATCATGATATCTATCAAGGATCTTCCTGATCATCTGATCATGGTGGCCAACCATGTCCAGCCAACTCCAGATTTATTGGAGACCATTTTGTAGAGATCAACGGTGAGTGTCGACAATAGGCTGGTGTGAGAGAGGGCTGCTCTCCTCTAGTGCCGGTGTAGAGACTTGTGTGTCTCATGGTCTGATATGACAGCTTTACACTAGGAAGTACATAGCATGAACTTGTAGTGTCACTCTGTGCGCTACCCACAGCTATCTCTATATGAGGTGCAGCTTTCCCGCGCAACGCGCACCATGCACGCACCATTCCCGCGCTTCACGATGTATGCGCGTGCGTTCCCGCGCTTGCGCGCCCTATAGCACCAGCCATTCAGATGCATCCATCCACTGTCCACCAAGCTCCCTAGTACGTATATTTCCATTTCCTTTATTAGCATAGTTCCACCTTTATTTTTATCATAGTTTCTCACTCATATATATTTTTACATACCTACTCAGTAGCGCTTTGGCTCCGCATGACCACGCTTAGGCGCGGTATATAAGCGCCAGCAGTACATACTACACTTTACCTTACTTTACCTCCCATTTACTTATTACTACTTACTTACTACTTAGCAGAACATAGTAGAACTCTATCTGTTTACACCTCGCATCTCTCTTCTCTTATCTAGTATCATATCATCACTTAAGTCTAACCTCTCTGTTGTTTCTGCATATGCACGCGTGCTTTCCTGCGCTTCACGCTAATACGCGCGCGTGTTCCCACGCCTTGCGCGCACCTGCGCTTTCTTGCACTTCGCTTCAGCGCGTACCTGTAGATCTTCGCTGCACTCGCTTCCCCTATAGGGTCGAACGCACTTGCCATCTCAAGTATTGCAGACTAGGCAACGCACGACCTACAACATTTATAGATACAGCTAGGAGCTATCTTTGTTCCTGGCAGTATTGTTGTTTCTACACCGGTTTACTAATGCTAGTGAATCTGGCATCATGACACTTTAAGGGGCAATCTCGTATGTTTCATGTCATTTGAGGGAGCCATGTACAACTAGCATGAATATTTCAGATAGAGTTTCTGCTGGAAGTTTGGCAATGAAACATTGGTGGGGGACCTGGCCACTCACTGACATTAGAATACTAATGAGCTGCTAGGGGAATTCAATATGAGCAGGAGGGATTTAAAGTAAATTGCCTTTCACATAAGTCATACTCATGTTTTGCAGTGGAGTTCTGAACCAAAGACATTGGCTATTGCAAGCATAAGCAAGATGCCAGATCTCGAGTTCACAAGATTTGTTGAGTGCCCATCATGCAGTCCTTTCAGTGGGTGTTCAATTGGCTAGAAGTCTACACAAATTGGCTCAGTGACTTTGAACCGAGATCCAAGATCTGACCTATGCCATGCACAAAGGCTATTCCAGACACCCATATATTACCATGGTAAACTGATTATATATGTACTTCATTTGGATAATGTTGTTGATATTGATCATAAGACATGGTGGCTAGTGTATAAGGTACGAAGTAGGGAGAATAAGTATGGTATGAATAACTGAATAACTGAATAGCCTACACCTACATTATGTAATATTTAGAGCTTGTATGCAAGCCAGTCCTCCAATGAGAGATGCAGATCCAGCCAAGCTTACTATATCAGAAGCAAATTAGGAAATAAAGTCCTGTTGTTGGTAAATAATATGCGCTAAGATATGTATTACTTACCATGTTGAAGTGAGATCTGGATGTGATGCAGTTGTGGACCCTAATCACCAGTGCTAAGCTACATTATCGGGCGGAGTTAGTAATACTTATATAAATATATACAAGCTGTGACATACATAAAGTGTATGAAGGATTAATGACTAAGGCAGAATGGGGAGGATGATGTTAAAAGACACTTCGCTTTTCAAGACATGTTTAAGCATGTAAATATTGACGCTTGGATCCTCATGACTGACTTATTGACGTCGCTCTGACCATTGGGGCAGAGGGGCATGTTGTCACCTGGCATGAGTCTTGTCATGAGGAGCTTCTGAGCCACCTCATGCCAGCCGCACCCCTGGAAAAGATTTCTAGCCTTACAACAAGGAAAGACAAATTCCATCTTGACCACACCTTGCAGATGAAGGAACTTGCCAGCTTCTGTGCCACCATGACAGATCTTGCAGACAATGTTTCCTATATTCAGGCATACTGCACTAAGAAGAACACCTCTTACCAATTAATACCAGGGGTGTTTTGCTAAAGAAAACCTAAGGAGCTTTTAGAAAAGAAGAAGGAATGGAAGATCCTAGCTGACTTGAATTCAATAAGCCAAATATACTTTGAATGCACTGGGAAAGAGAAAGGTGTGAATGGTCATGATGGCTGCACATGCTTGGAGATTTGAGTCCTGCTGGATAAGGCCATTCATGCTTTGTCTACTCTTCCTGAAGAACTGATTAAGTGTGCTGTAGTTATAATTAAAAGACGAGTTTGGTGGTGAGAACGCACCTGCATGTCATTCTATACACCAAGCTCATACTTTGTCCTAGGCTCTTCATATATTATCACCTGGCCACAGTACATATAATGCTCAGGAACTTGGCTGAAGCTGATGCCAAAGTGCGTACTCTGGAACCTATATTGGGTTTGGCAGTGATATGCATTTACATACTCAATGCTTGCTTCACCCATCTCACTGAGAGATTTGATGGGAGAGCTTACTCAAGAGTTGTGCCTGTCATGCACTGGAAGATCCCGATAATGAAGACTCCCCCATCATTCCTCTTTTATACAACAGTGGCACTTATAGTGGCTCAAAAAAGTGTCACAATGTTTGTAGGTTTTCATGTAATTGTGTTATTGCAAGCCAGGGCGTGAGAATCTGACTAAGCCAAAGGGAGGTCCCAAAAATCTCCACGTCTCGGCTACAGTTATGTCACCTATAGCATGACATTCCAATGACGCTGTGTGATGATATGGCTATTTTAATTAGGTGACTCATTGGGACACTTTTTTGAGTTTCTATTAAAATATGAAAATCAGATCATTTAGAGATGACACCATTTACAAATATATATATAAATGGTCCCATATTGACAATATGGTCTTACTTTAATATCCTGTACATATATAAACCCTTCCAATAATATCATGTCCCTCATAATCAGCATGAAATCTATTTCCTCTTCTCAAAGAGATAATATCCATTTTCTCTCCACCTCTGGTCAGGCAGATTGCCTCCAAAACTGGTCTGAGGAAGTCAACTATTGCCAGGGTTATTAACCAGAATATTCTCAACAAACAAAATGTCAAAATAGGTCGTCCTTCTAAACTTACTCTGCATGACAAAAGAGCTCTTGTTCATCATATCATATCTGGAAAGGCCTCTACTGCTGTTCAAGCCACAAAATACATCAATTCCATCATCCCTACCACTGTCTCCACTCAAACAGTCAGGAACACTCTCAAGGAAGCCAATCTTAAAGCTGTAGTCAAGAAGAAGAAACTCCTACTGTCACCAGCCTATAGGAAAAGGAGACTAGCATTTGCTTTAAAGCACCAAAACTGGACTGTAGAGGACTGGAAGAGAGTTATTTGGTCAGATGAAACTAAAATCAATAGGATGAGGTCAGATGGTCAAGAGTATGTTTGGAAAAAAGCAGAAGATCCACTTGGAGAAAAAGAAGTGAAAGATACTCTTAAGTTTGGAGGAGGAAATATGATGGTGTGAGGCTGCATGGGGTGACATAGGGTAGGAATTCTATGTGAGGTGGAGGGGAGGATGAATGCAGAGCAGTGTCTCCATTCTGAAGGAGTGTCTGCTTAAAAGCATGCAAGAATCAGGTATTGATGAAGAAGACATTATCTTCCAACAAGATAATGACTCCAAGCATACCTCAAAGTTGGCTACCAAATGGTTTGAGGACCATGATATTACTGTCCTATCATGGCCAGCACAGTCTCCAGACCTCAATCCCATTAAACATCTTTGGGAATTACTCAAGAGAATGCTTGCTGCCTATCAAGACCTACCTAATGGACTATTTCAGTTATGGGAGAGAGTTGTAGTAGAGTGGGGAAAGATTGCTAAGGAGGAATATCAGAAATTGATAGAAAGTATGCCTAGGAGGGTAGCAGCAGTCATTAAAGCCAAGGGAGGAAACACTAAGTACTAGAATTATAGAGATTATGTATATCAGATTCAAACTCAAAAAAGTGTTCCAATGAGTCATCTAATAAAAATAGCCATATCTTCACACAACATCGTCAGATTCTCATGCTATAGGGGTCCTAATTGTAGCTGAGAAGCAAAGCTTTTCGGGACCTCCCTTTGGCTCAGTAGATTCTCACGCCCTGGCTTGCAATAACACAATTATATGAAAACCTACAAACATTGGAACACTTTTTTGAGCCACTGTACTTCCTGTGCGACATCACCATGAATGCAGGACATAATGGATTTCTACGCCTGCTGATACAGAGGAAGTTCAAGCCAGAGTCTATGACTTCCATTTATCACAGCAATACATGGATGAGATCAAGGTGGCCTTTGATTTGAGTATCATATAACAGAGCAAGAAACTCTTAAATAAACAAAGAATGCAAAACTGCAGCTGTAAGACAAGGGATGTTGATGATTTACAAGACCTAGACTACCAGCCCATGCACCTTGCCACTTGGATCCAGGGTGTTTGTGTCAACCCATGTTACATTTTTGGCAGGTAGGGATGTGGACCTGAATGCCCTGCATGGGGGTGAGGAACAAGAAGTTGATGGAGCAGAGGATGATGTGCAGGCCCTTGAAATTGCTATCAATCAGAAAGTTTGCCAAGATCTATGAGCAGTTCTACTTTGACATTATTGAAAGGCTCCTAACAGGAAATGTAAGCAGGCCAGTTCGTACCTTTCCATTCCTGCCCATAGGTGCATTGACCTCGCACGTCCAGAGTTGCTGATAATTTCTGCTCTCCCCTTCCAACAAGTGCAATACTATAGATGCTCAACAGAGTAGTGGGAGAAATACTTTAACTGCATTTTCCTCATGCCCTCCTCTACTGAGGCTATACAAAATGCTAGTGGTCAAAACTTTCTCAATTGCACCTACTACCAGCATTACATGGCTCTTATTGAT